GATTTTGGGCCAAAATTCACCTCTGATCAGCTGGTTCATGCAATGTCTTGAAACAGAGTCAGACTCAATACAAAAATCTGCAGTTCAAGATTTAAGTGTTTTTCACTTGAAGGTCAATGTCTTTCTAGTCTGGTTACTTCTAAATTGGGTAGAATGCGTCTGTGCAACTACAAATTCTCAGCTAGCAGCAGGACATCCAGATTGTCCTTGAAATGTCAGGTAAGATGATTTGTACTCTAAGTAATTAACTTCTTTGAGGTTCTGATTGTTGATATATTGCTACCAGCAGAGTATACAGCATTTCAAAAGAGAACAACATTTTGTACCTCCAATGTCTTGACTTCAAAGCATTTAAACTTTATAAACAAAGAGACAGCCTCAGACTAGCACCAAAGAAAGCAATTTATGTAAGCAGAAAGTCTGGAACAAATAATTAAAATATGAGACTAAACAAAAACATTTGTGAGTTTGTTGAAACAACTCTGAAATATAAACTCATTTTTTCTGTGTCTATTTATTTGCACTTCACCTAAGGGTGCCCTCTGAGCGTGTTATTTCTTACTTGTGTTGCATTTGGAAGTACGTCAGTGGTAGCCACCGTGGAGCTCACTCTGCAGGCTCTTTTCCCGGCGTGCCCGTGCCTCACCCCAGAGGCAGCCTGGATGTGCCAACCTCTCTTCCAGTGTGCAAACGTTTAAACGTCCAAGTGAAAACCTGCAGGAGCACACCCGCCATCCCTCAGCTCAGCTCAAAACCACAGCTCCATAGCGAATACCTTTCTTTCTCGTCCGTGACCTATTAGAGTTGTGCAGGATTTCTAATCAAGTAGTCCCCCCAGAAACCATTTCAGACGATATACTCCATTTTAACATCTTCCGTCGCCCCTCAGTAAGCCACAGATCACAGCAGCGTGCGGTTGCGGTTGGGAAAGACATTACCTTACTACTCTGTCTTCTCATCCCGCAGGAGCTGAAGCAGCCCCTCAAGGGATCGCAGGGTTTATACCCAGCAAGATACAACAGCGACAGGACAAGGGGGAATGGCTTTAAACTAAAGGGGGGTAGATTGAGACTAGAGAGAAGGAAGAAATGTTTTACGCTGAGGGTGGTGAGGCACTGGCCCAGGTTGCCCAGAGAGGTGGTGGATGCCCCATCCCTGGAACCATTCCAGGTCAGGCTGGACGGGGCTCTGAGCAACCTGATCTAGTTGAAGATGTCCCTGCCCAGGGCAGGGGGGGTTGGACTAGATGACCTTCAGAGGTCCCTTCCGACCCAAACTATTCTACGATTCTATGATAAGATACGCAGCTGCAGCTCCTGGTACTTCAGCAGTAACTAAATGCAGCTCATCTCATTTCAGTGTAGCTGAAAAGACGGGGCAGTTTTTTACCAATGCTACTGTAAAGCTACCTGCTTCTCCCCTGAATTTCGCGGTGCTTTGTGATCTCTGGCTCCTCCAATGTGGTTATTAAGGAAAAGGCGCCACCGAGGCCGTCAGCGCTGGCGTCACGGCGGCGGCCAAGCACGCAATGGGCAATCGCGTGGTGCCACCTCGTGGGGAGCGGGGCGACAGCGAGCCCCCTCCGTCTGCCCGAAGCCCGGCTTTAGGAGCGTAAGGCCGCCGTGGGAGTTCGTCAGAAAGGGTGCGGGGAGGCACAGACAGAGGGAGGGAGGGGGTCGCGAACACCCGTGACCCGCCAAAGACGACTACAGGCAGCGATTTATAAATTGCGCGAACTGCTACGAAAAGCACTCAATCCACGGCGCAGTTTGTGACCAGTGGCAGCCGCCAAGGATCAAACCGAACTGGGCGATCACAAACGAACACAACCGGGGGAAAAAAACCGATTTCCACACTGATCGTTTGGTGGGGAGATACATTTCTTGCAACAGAAAAGCAAAGATTTGATCCAATCCTCTGCTACGCCAAAAGCCGGGACCTCCCCAGCACCTCCCGGCTTTGCAGCTCTGCCCCGGAGCTGCTGCACTGAAGTAACAAATCACCGGGCGGGGGACGGAAAAATCACACCGTGCTTCAACTTGTATGGCAGCGATTCTTCACATTTTTAATCCATACATGAATAACATTAGTTACCCTGGGATCACTCAGCTGCTTTAAAATGAACCGTGTTCTGAATCGCTTTAAGATCAATGCTTTTTTACCAGCAGAAGACAAGGAAAGCGTATCTGTTTAACACCTAAATGTATTTAAAAAATAATTTTGGGCAGTCTCCTCTCTCACAGTTGAAGTGGATCAACTTTAAAAGTCAAAGCCCTTTTCTGCACGTGACAGAGCTGTGAGGCAGAGTTTACTGTTGTCGTAACGTGTGTAATTCTGCTATGAAGGGGGCCGTCAGGAAGCCACAGACAAGCGGTGGCACTGCCTAAGTCTTCCTCTTCTAGCCCGTGATTTTGAAGCTGACAAAAGCATCAAGCAAGGCTGCAAAAGGAGAACCCTCTTCTCCTAGCAGCCGTTTGCGATACTTGAGGGCTAACAGGAGAGAGACGGGCACTTAGGATCCCGTAGAAAATTACATCCCGGCAGAGAACAACTAGCAAAGGCCGGTTTCTGTGTACTTGTGTACTTACCCATGAACTGCAACCCTGGCTTTGGGCTGCGTACGGAAGTGGACAAGCTACCCAAGACTGACAGCCCCAGGACCACAGAGGGCTAGGGCCAGCCATCCAGCGTGCCGAGGTCCCGCAACCCTTGCTGTGGTGTCCTGTGGTGCCACAACCACCTCTTTAAAATGAGCCCGGGTATACTTAGTACAAGCTGGATTTTCAGTATAGGAACACGCATGCAGTGCTGCAGGGTGCAAGACTTAACTGGAATAGAGCTCTGTGCCTTTTCTTTTTAAACGAAAGGAAGGGGGGGCAAGGAAAAAAGAAAGAAAAACCAGAACAGAACCCCGGAAAAATCCATTTTGAGGAAGATACTTTACAGAAGACAACTTTAGGAGCTTGACCCATTTAGTCTGTCAAAACATTAGGACTCGCATTACACTGCTCTAAGCACCCAGGCAGCAAAGACCCTTCTTCTGGCAGAGAAAAGTATGCGGAGGACTGGTTATCTGGAAACCAAAGCCAGCCCCATCGAGACACTGCAACCTGTGTTACTAATCGCAGCGATTCTGCCGGTCTTAATATTCATCTTCTGGTCAAGACCGCGAGCCTTGACGGAAAATTTTGGCTTTTACATTTCAGAAGTCAGGGCATAAATGTGTCTGTAAAAGCCGCAGCCGTGTGTAATACATTGTTATAGCATACATAATGCTATTACTTATTTAAGGCTTAACACAGTTCTGAGAAAATGGACAGGTTTGTGGCAAAGCATCTTCCGTTGGGCTTTCCAGTCTACAAATACCGCTGATCCACAGGAAGATGCTAAATTCTTAAGGTCACCTCTGATCACGCAGCAAGGAAGGAGCTTTTCCTCAATTGTCCAGCAAAAAGCCGGAACCACCAACTTTTCAAAAAGGAATTCAGAAATTTAAAAAAACACCCAGTAAAATTACACTTTCCCAGTATCTCTGCAAACTGATGGAACAAATCAGGCGAGAACAATC